AGGGTGCTGTGGGCATTCGGATGATGTCACTATGATGGAGCTGAGTCAATATTTCTGTTGTGGAACTTGCCAAATAAAGAATGAGACATTTATGGATGCTATGTGAGATGACAGATTCTGTCATGGTTGTACTGGGTTGGCCATAGGTAGATGGCATCTAGACTGCAATCAGCAGTATGGCTAGAAGGTAGTCGGCATTTGGCACATAGGATGGATGGTCTCTATACTGCAATCGGCAGTACGATTAGATGGTAGTCGGTCGGTATTTGGAAATAGAGTAGATGGCTAGATTGTAGTCGTTATTTGGCTTACTATTTGTAGAGCAATGAAGGAGATTCTAGGCGTCACTTGCTAGTTTACCCTTGAGTAGAGTAGATTTTGCTGTCGGTTTGCTGAGTTTTATAGAGTGAGGACGTTCTGTTTATAACTTAGTGTAATCTTGGTTGTGTAATATGAGATATACGACTTTGTAATTCTGTTTCCTAATAAACATGATTGTTAGTTGTTACTATTTTATGCAATCGTTAGTTCGTTGAGTATAAGAGTGGTACTTTTATTGTTTAAGTTGCTGTAGTCTTTATACCACTCCACTATACTATATTCTCTCCTCTCCTTCATAATACCTCCACTGAATATTACCTGATCGTTTAGGGTGTAGACTTATTACTACACTTTCCACACAGGAGAACCTATTGTCCTCTTATACATTCTGTAACTATTATTTCTCCTCGTCTGTCTCTCTCTCTACTTTTATATCTTCTTATTTCTATTCCCCCTTTAAAATGTACCCTGTTACAGACATATATATCGAAGGTGATAATTTAGGTAACGTGCATTCACAAATATGAAAAATAACTATGAAGTAACAATTACTTACTAATGGAACCTTACAGTGGGAATCATAATCTTGTCTGACTAAATGAAATTAAAATCATGTACAGGACAGGAACTTGAAGGAAGTCATTGTTAGCAAATATGTCGCATTAAACACATTACATTATATTGATGGTTACCTTATGTTGTTGTCTGTCTGTCCGACTATTTGATACACCCAAACAATTTAAACCAGCCTACCCACCATATCACATTACCCATCTAGTGCCGATGGTCTGTAAAAATATGGGTGCTCTTCTCATATGCCCGATGCGACTAAGAGGTATAAAAAAAAAGATTTGTTCCCCCCCCACTTATATATCTGTCTGTTGGTCTAATATATCTTTCAGCGGTCTTTTTATTCCGCTGGCTGGACAACAGTTACGTGACTCAGTGTATTCGCGTTAGCGCAGTCGATACGAGGCTCGCTTTCAAATCAAGCTGCGACTCGCTGCAGTCCACGGTCGGTGTTCGAAACCGGTCGGTTCTCCGGGTTCACCCAGCCTCTAGGAAATGGGTACCATAGTGACACTCTGGGGTAAATTAAGGAACGTTGCTGTAGCTACAGAGTTACGTGCGAACGACAGCACAGGCGGGCAGTTTCTCATCAGCTGTCTGTTCTGGTGGCAGAGCACTTATGGTTTATAACCGTGTGCAATGACGCTGGTTCACATTTCCCGACTTTACTTTGTTTTTTTTATTATTCGTGACTACATGATGTTGTAATGATTTACGTAACGTGCTGATGATGGCTTTGTAGCAGCAACGTTCGCTTTCTGTTTGCGTTTGTTATACTGTGAATGTGAAGAAGTAAAGGACCATTTTCCACACCTTAAGGCATATCGGGCATATTGGGCTAGAGCTATTGTTTATAGACCCGTCGGCACAAGATGGGTGTTGTCTATACTGTGAAGCTCGCTGGTATACTTTTCGTTCAGTTTTGTATCTTTTCACATCCCCCGTCTCTCTCTCTCTCTCTCTCTCTCTCTCTCTCTCTCTCTCTCTCTCTCTCTCTCTCTCTCTCTCTCTCTCTCTTTCTCTTTCTGTCTCTTTTGCATATATGTATGTGTAAATATTCATATGCAAAAACGAATGCGTGCTGAACTTCCTTCGCCTTGGCACTCTGCCGCGAGGGGATATCCTTTTCAAGATAAGCACAACTGTCTAATTTTTTTTTAATACGTTGATTTATTACCAGTTCGTTTGATCCCGTTTTTAACAGCGCTGCCTGGCGTTTTATTTTCCTAAATCACATTAAGAACCTACAAGCTTTCACTATCTCTGTAAGTGTAATATTTATGTATACTGGGTTTGTTATTATCAAGAAAAGTGCGAGCATTTGACGATTGTTTCAAAACTCTATGTGAATACAGTGCCGACCTGATAATTAGACTTTATCATTGACTCAGAGAAACTGATCTTCTTATCAGAAATTCCTCTCAGCCAGATAACATTTAAAGCAAGAAACATTGCCGGGGATAAATAAATTGCTTTTCACAACACACATTTGCCACATACGAGATCGTCTAAATAGGTCTGCACTGTATTATTATTAATTACTTTTGTTTGGCTTTTAAGCGTGTTTTTTTTTTTTTTTTTGAGATAACTTTGCTGCCGCTCATGTGTATGAATTCAATTCCACCCCCCCCCCCCCCCCCCCCCACTGTTTTGAGGAGTTGGGGCGAGGAGGAGTCGAACAGGTGGTAGTTAGTGATTTGCCTGCCGGAGAGGTCCCAGAAACCCCTATTTATGGCACGTTTATATTCAGGCCCCCGGCAAAAGCCAGGGTGGGACTTCAAAAAACAAACAAACAAAAACGCATCCAACAAGAGGACGACTTATATTATAAAAATCGATACATTGAGCAAACAACCTAATTAATGTATTTAGTGGGGGAAAAAATTAGTGTAAACAAAAATGGTTTATTTAGAAATATAATTGGTGTATATAAAAACTGGTTAGATTTTGATATTGCTAACTTTGCAACATTACTCTTGCACAACATTGCTAAAATCTATCATTCTTTGGTTCACCCAACCAGGACATCACACCAGCGATAAACACCCGATGACACAAAGTGCCACCATGTGGATGAGGATCACCCGTGGAGTAGTCCCAGAAACCGCGTTCAGCCATTAGGTCATATTTATAGCCGGGCTATATTGCGGGGCGGCGTCCGTGGCTAAGGCGTTGCGAGTCCGACTCGTAAGCCAGCATGCCGCGATCGAAACCCACTGCAGGCTGCGTGGATTTTTGTCGTGGTATGGGACGTCGCAGGTCGACCCAGCCTAGAATGGGTACCAGGATGGGCTGTCCTGGGAAAGTAAAGACAGCCAGCGTGATGCTGACCACATTACCCACAGTCTGTAAAAAATATGGGACGCTCTGCCCATATTCCCGATGCGCCAAAAGGCGTGAAAAGGGATCTTTACTTTTTTTTTTTACTATATTGCGGCCCCTGACAAGAGCCAGATTAAGGCTCTAAAATAACGAAAAATTGCATCCCACGTCGGTATGTCTAAATTATAGGTTTGCTGACTGACTGACTTTCTACTCCACCAGGAGTGGGGGAAAAAATTAGTGTAAACAAAAATGGTTTATTTAGAAATATAATTGGTGTATTTAAAAACTGGTTAGATTTTGATATTGCTAACTTTGCAACATTACTCTTGCACAACATTGCTAAAATCTATCATTCTTTGGTTCACCCAACCAGGACATCACACAAGCGTTAAACACCCGATGACACAAAGTGCCACTATGCGGATGAGGATCACCGTGGAGAGGTCCCAGAAACCGCGTTCAGATATTTGGCTATATTTATAGCCTGCCTATATTGCGGCCCCCGGCAAAAGCCAGGGTGGAGCTTCAAATAGAAAAACGTCATCCTGAAATGGACGATAGAGAATGTAGTAGTATAGGTTTGCTTGACTTGACTTTCTACCCCACTAGGACATCACACAAGCGATAAACACCCGATGACACAAAGTGCCACCATGCGGATGAGGATCGCCGTGGAGAGGTCCCAGAAACCGCGTTCAGACACTTAGCCATATTTATGGCCTGCCTATATTGCGGCCCCTGGCAAAAGCCAGGGTGGGGCTTCAAATAACAAAAAATTTCGCCCTAAAAAGGACGAAACTGGATGATGCCAGCGATGACATTTAATGCTTGCTGACTGACTGACTTTCTACCCCACTAGGACATCACACAAACGACAAACACCCGATGACACAAAGTGCCACCATGCGGATGAGGATCGCCGTGGAGAGGTCACAGAAACCGCGTTCAGACAATTGGCCATATTGTTGGCCTGCCTATATTGCGGCCCCTGGCAAAAGCCAGAGTAGGGCTTCAAATAACAAAAAATTGCGTCCTAAAAAGGACGAAACTGGGTATAATGCGTGCTGACTTCTATCTATAAGTTCTTGCCCCATAGTGGAATCATCAGTCCCTTCTCTAAACAATTCTCACACCAATCCCCAACTAAACTGTTCTCCCCACAGTTCCTCTCTAAACAATTCTTACACCAATCCCCAACTAAACAGTTCTCCCCACAGTTCCTCTCTAAACAATTCTTACACCAATCCCCAACTAAACAGTTCTCCCCACAGTTCCTCTCTAAACAATTCTTACACCAATCCCCAACTAAACAGTTCTCCCCACAGTTCCTCTCTAAACAATTCTTACACCAATCCCCAACTAAACAGTTATATCCCACAGTTCCTCTCTAAACAATTCTTACACCAATCCCCAACTAAACAGTTCTCCCCACAGTTCCTCTCTAAACAATTCTTACACCAATCCCCAACTAAACAGTTCTCCCCACAGTCCCTCTCTAAACATTCCTCTCAGCAGCTGGTCCCCAGTACCCAGCGTCCCCGTGGCTTCTACTGTGTCTGCTGCCTATATACACAACCACACGCTCCATCAACGCTCTCAGTTGAAAGCGTCCTGTTCAACGGGCGAAGGTTATCACCCTTGGAAATTAGTTCATTTCGACCCGCATTCGCAAATGTCCAAGGGCAGTAATTCATACCCGACTATGCGGCCTCACAGAGATAAGTGATTTAATACATCGATGATGGCCGATTCTCATGAACTCGGTATTTGGTGGCATACCCGAGGAGAACCTGTCAGAAAATGTCAAAATGTTCCCCCGTCCCTGGCAGATGGGGCATCTGAAACGCAACGGGACAATCCTGGGATGGCTTAGAAGTCTATCAGAAATTAGAACGCATGTATCTAGACCTGGAGATTACCTACTTAGGTTGCTCCCAGTTTTCAGCCTTGGACGATGGAGATTTTGAGGTGTTATTTTGGGTTTATTTAATTGTTTGCGTAAAATCGATATCAAGCATGCATATTGTGGTGGGTGGGTGGGGGGGGGGGGGGGGGGGGGGGGGGGAGCCGTGGTAGGTCGTAGGTTCAAAGGTCCTGGGTTCCAATCAGAACGAGGCCGCTTTTCTCTCTCCCAAAAATTACCATGGCTCCCTAGCAGAAGTAAAGGCTACAATCGTGATGCTGTCAAGGGCACAAGATGGGTGATGTGTTTCTGTAGTGTCTCTTTTACTCCTCTTATCTCTTTCTTATTTGGCCTTTTGCCTAGTAGCCTGCTGATATCAGTGATTATTAAAGCGATTCTGACATAGGTTAGTTACGTATCCTTTACAGGACGTTGCAGAACCAACCCCAACAGCCCCTGGCTGTTGTGTGGTTTCTCTAGGCAAATTTACGCCCAGTAGTTTGCCATTGCTTCTGGACGGTCGGCCTCCTGATACCACTGTCGAAACCAACGCAAGGCGCATGTCCCGCAGCTGGGATTGAACCCGGCACCCCGGCATTACGAAGCGATCGCCACAGAGCAGAAATGATTTATTGGAACAGATAAAAAAGCTTCACATCCTTTACAGCAATATTCATCAAATCATGAGCCTCGACATACTGGTTGATTTGATTTAATTTGATTCAAGAACCGACATCACAGCACTCGGGGCATTCCCACAAGCGCTCCGTCCCAATGTTCAGCAGCCAGCGAAGAGTTCCGATACTAATGGTGCCAGTAGCATTCTGAATAAAAGTCCGTCTTGCCTTTCCTTTGAGCTTCGAGCATCTGCCATAACCTCTCGTAACTCCCCCCTGCATCAATCTCACCAGACTGTGGTGATCACTCTTCTCCTCCGAACTGTACACGCTCTCCCACAAGGCCCTAACCACGTCTGCCTTATCATGTATCAGTATTCCACCAAGTTGTGCAGAGCCAGACAGTCTGTCTGTTTGATCATTTCCCAAAACACCGGCGTGCCATGGTGGATAAATCCAGACAATACTCCTCAACCGGGTCCTCCGCAGCGAACAATGACACACTGCACTGGTTGACCGCGGAAAAGTCCGTGTAGACCGCCGATTACTTCTGCTAGATAGCGAAATCAAACACCTTTATTGCAGCGTTTCTTCTATCAAAAACAACTTTCCAGTCAAGTACATCAGATTCTCTAACCATTAAGCAGCAGATGTCGAATTAGCTGAAAACCACAAGTCTCCGACACGGGATTTAACAAATAACTTTTATCCGCATTTGTTTGTGTTTCTGTATTTGGTTATCTGTCAGGTAGGCCCAAAAACAATTTCCACTTTTTTGATGGGCCATGGTTGTAAACAGGTTGAGAAACACTGGTTTAAAGGACATTGCAAAATCGACCCCAGCAGTTTTGTTATATTTGTGATTTCAATAGGCAAACATTCAGAAATCAGTAACTGGTACTCAGCAATCGGCTTTCGATACCACTGTCGAAACCAACGCTGCCCCACAGCCACGCAGCTGGAATCGAACCCGACACCTTGGAATAGCGAGGCGAGTTCGCGACGCATAAGCCACAGACGCCGACATTGGAATAAATAAGAGTTGAGGTAACTTAAAACCCCCCCCCCCCCCCCCACACACACACACACAACACACACACACACACACACACACACACACACACACACACACACACACACACACATAGTTCACCCTCTGCCCCGAAAATCTGAAAATTGTAACTAACAACGAAAGAAGTAGTTTCTGCAGATATTGCTTGTGACACGAACATTCTGACTTCCGGCGAAACAGAAAGAAAATATGAAAGTAGAGACTTTGTTGAAACATGATCGGAAACAGCCGGCATTGAAAATACAAAATGTGAATACATATCGTTGATTAACTGAGACATAACCCCCACCCCCGTCTCCGCCTCTTCCTTGTGGCGATAAACTGCCAAAATATGTTGTTTTTTAAATACAAAATAAACGAAGTCCAGGCCATGGAGAGAGTGCAAGGGAGATACAGGAATTGATCCGTACCGGGTACCACATGTCCTTGCTACACCACTTAAAGTGGCGGTAGTGTTGGTGATAGTAAAAGCGGTACGACTCACAATTCTCAGCCCATCTCGTTTGGCTGCGTGATTTCATAGCGGTTCCCACGGGCTGTCCTATGTTCTAGGGGTATCATTTGTTGCTTGTTTTGAGAGTTTTAAGCACATCCACCCCTGACGACAGCCACTGCTAACGAGCGTAAAATAAATGAATCTAGCGCCTTCGGCACCTCTCCGTGCAGTATTTATTCCTTGCACACGGTCACCTGAGACCTAATTACAACCACAACTACAACAAAACACGATACACACACATTCCATAAACAACACTGGTTCACAGAAAAAAAGAGTTGCGAAAAGAACAGTTTGTCCACCTGGTCGAACGAGCCCAAGTCACTTGTCGACACGATGTGTACAGACAGCGAAGGAAGACATGTCATAAAACGAAATCGCACAGCTGAACGAGATGTGGTGACACACGTGAATTGTACCATAAAATCATCACTATTTATATTGCTGCTGATGGTGTTGCGATCGGTGTAACAGTATACGATGCACTCAGTCACGTCTAATGTAATCTCAGCTATGTCCTTAACGTAATAACGACCGCGCTTAGACAAAACCGAGCTCATGATCCCAATTGTGATCGAAACGAACGCACGGAGTGATTACTTCTCCAATGCCCCCACAAGCTTCAGGATTACACTATCATTATCCCTAATCCCACTCGCCTCTCTATCAGTCAACTAATCCCACTCGCCTTTCTATCATTCCACTAATCGCCGAGGCAGATACGACATTTGAAAATAGGATTACGGATTTCATTGAGTGCCGGCTCTTCCACTCCGCCGTGTTGTGTCTGGAACATTCCGAGTTAGCACCAGAAATAGTAGCAGTCCCTCGACGAGGATGTGATCAAGTAGTCATTCTTGCGCTCTGAAGTTGGTAGAATCGATCAGCTTCAGGTTTGTTTTTTTAGTTTTACAGTAGAAGGTGATGGTGGAGTGCTTATGAAGCTAGGCTCTCTTGCAATAGACCTGAATTCAAATCCCGAGTAAGGTCGTAAATTTTTTTTAAGGGGTGGGGGGGGGGGGGGGGGGGGGATGAGGGGCATATACATAACCTGTACAGTTAGTGCTGACAAAAGTGGTCATGGGCGAGGAAGTGCTTGGGGCGGAGTCTCAAAGTGATCTAACCCCCCCCCCCCTCTTCCACCCTACCCCCATATCTCAGTATCCGTCGCTACTGTTTTTATTTATTTTATTTTTTCCCCATCAAACCTGGACGAAGTTAATGAATTATTAGCGTTGCCTCACTTTACAGGCTGTATTTACAGCGGCCATATTTATAATTAATACATACACAATTTATGAATGATGAATGAATGAAACATGGGAGAACTGAATGTATGTTCAGTGCAGTGCTGCATACACTGTGGAAGTGTTGATGGCTTATGAGTTATTGTTATATCTGCGGTCATCTGGGTAAAGATTCGTTTTTTTTTTTTTTTTTTTTTTATTCACCCCTAACACTTACAGAAGAATTTTTAGAAATCCTTGGACAACTAAGAAAAGCAACCCAGAAGTTTTCAAAGAGGCGGGTGCTCGAAGACAATTTATGACAAACATCAGAAAGAGACAGTCATCATGTTTTGGTCATGTTTGAGAAGAGGAAAACTGATTCATGTTGTGACACACTGTTGTGAGTGTTGTTTTTTGTGTATTTCTGCGAGTTTTGTGTCTGTGAGTGTATGTTGTGTCCGCTTGTACGTGATGTGTCTCTGTGCGCATTTTTGTCTATGTATATGTGTTGTCGCTGTGTGTGCATGTTATGTCTGTGTGCGTTTTGTGTCTGTGTATATGTGTAGTGACAGTATGTATGTGTTGTGTTTGTGATTTCATGTGTGCTTGTTTATGTTATTGTATGCTGTCAGTGTGTACGCCTCTGTTAGCAAATGCGGTTGGGTCTGTACGTATTTGCCCTATCCATAATTTTGAATTTTCACCTTACATCTATTCTATGAATTTTGACACGTGAATTTAATATGCTTGATACAAAAATACAATTGCCGTATGAAAAATGAACGAATGAAAGGACAGAATGTAAGACGAGCCTTCGTGCAAATTTGTAACCCTTTGAACATAAAGTTCGTGCGTTCGGTTGTTTGTCCGTCCCGTCTGTCAGTTCGTCCTTCCGTCTGCCTGCATGTCAAAATGTCAAATACAAAACACCATTAATGCGCACAAATGTAGCGGAAAAAGAAAAACCAACAATCACTCGCCATCCAACAAGAACGGACTTGTGAAGCTGCGAACATCTGGCGTGAACCGGAAACGCGCCAGTCGCAGATCTGGCAGACGATTCCATCCACATCTGCGAGCGCCATGCCAATTAAGATCAACATTTTCACACTTGCCAGTTGTTCCCAGAGGATGAACAGTGTTCCCAAAAGCGCACAATTTTTGCCTACACTTGGCCAACAAATCTACTGACGCTCAACGATCTTTTTGAAGTTTCTTTTTTTGAAGCTCCTTTCATTTTCACATGATCAATTAAACAACACGTCGCTTTATAGTTTCTGTTAAATAGAAGCGCCTTAAAATTCGAATAAACGTCAAAATTACGGTTAGTTTATGATGATGACGATGATGAGGATGATGATAGTATTTGCAGAGGGCCCCTCCCCTCTCTCCCAAAGGATTGGGGGGTGGGGGGGGGGGGGAGAGGGAGGGGAAGCGGACTGCCACTGAGTGATTTTTTTTTGAGGGGGGGGGGGGGGGGGGGGTTGTTTTTTCAAAACCGGAGCAGCCGGCCAACACAATTTGGAACCTATGCGATACAACATGTCTGTCTGTCTGTATGTATGTATGTATGTATGTATGTATGTATGTATGTATGTATGTATGTATGTATGTATGTATGTATGTATGTCTGTCTGTCTGTCTGTCTGTCTGTCTGTCTGTCTGTCTGTCTGTCTGTCTGTCTGTCTGTGTGTGCGCGCGTGTGTAGGTAGGTAGGTAGGTAGGTAGGTAGGTAGGTAGGTAGTAGGTAGGTAGGTAGGTAGGTAGGTAGGTAGGTAGGTATGTATGTATGTATGTCATTATGTATGTATGTATGTATGTATGTTATGTATGTATGTATGTATGTATGTATGTATGTATGTATGTATGTACATGTATGTATGTATGTATGTATGTAGTATGTATGATATGTATGTATGTATGCATGCATGTGTGTGTGAGTGTTTGCTCGCGCGAGCGTATGTGTGTGTGCGCGTGTTTGTGTATGTATATGTAAACACTTCTACTACTACTAATAATAATTTTAATAACAATAACAATAATAACAATATCACTTCGTTGGCTCTGAAAGAATGGTTGACATTTTGTGGTCTAAAGTTTAGCTACCACATCTGCTACTTCTGGTCGGATACATCTAAATTCAGTATACTTTTAACTAGCCACCTTTCACGACATGCTTGGTAAGGGTAGGTGCGTCTAATCTCCCAACTCAAATCCTTGAGGTTGCAGCTCAGGAATCCACACGATGAGCCTCAATATTAGTATATCCCAGAGTTGCTCCCCCCCCCCCCCCCCCCCCCCCCCAGAACAAAATGGTGCCAGTACCCACACAAACAAATATCTTGTAAAAAAAAGTGATGGTACTCACCACAAAGATTCTATCACATCACCACTAAAAAAAAAAAATATGAATACCTTCAAAAAGATTACCATTGCGTATAAGTCAAGCGAAGTAGCCTTGCCCATGCCTTCAGATGTAATGGGCACACATGGCTATACCTATATTTCATAGAACAATTGGCACTCCATGTGGACGATGTGGTCAAGATTACGTTGACCGTCTTTACTTCCCAGAACTTTACATGGTAATCATTTAAGGCTTGGTTCGACATAGGTCCAAGGTCAATTTAAAAAAAAAAACGCTCTCACATGATCTGAACCCACGACATTCCGATCCGCAAGCGAGAGTCTAGCCGCTAAACCACGGCGGCTCCCGTAGCGTTGCGAACAGCCAGAAAAAAAAACAAAGAAAGACAGACAAGTCCACATGTATTACCTCGGTGTCTGTCTCGTCTAATATTCCACAGATGGTATCCACGGTTGACGAGAGGAAGTTCACATGCTCCAGCTATATATACTTCCTCAAAACTTCGCACACCAGCATCCACCCTCAGAACCCGGGGACCTGACGAGCAAAGAAAAATAAATTTCAGCAATGTTTCCGCGTTCTAAATTCAAACAAAGATGACTCAAAAAAGGACGTAAATGCGTTGTCTGCGTTGTGCCAGTTTACAACATTAGCTGCGATGTTTGCGCCTTAAGGAAAGACAAAGATAATGAGAATAAATCAGGCAAATAGTAATGTGATTTCTCTTAATGGCACCCCACTCCAAGACGTGGGGTCGTACACCTATTTGGGCAGTAATGTAGATAAAGATGGAGGAACTGATAGAGATATTAAAATAAGAATACAAAAGGCAAGAGGGGCTTTCATAGCACTAGAGAATTTGTGGAGGTCAAAAGAAATTAAAAGAAATACTAAACTAAAAATTTTTAATTCTAATGTCAAACCAGTACTATTGTATGGGGCGGAAACATGGGGAACAACCAAGGCAATTACTAATAAATTACAGACATTCATTAACTGGTGCCTGCGCAGAATAGAGGGAATAAAATGGTATGATAGAATGACTAATGTAGAACTTTGGGAGAGAACTAAACAGGCTCCAGTGGATCAGGAAGTGAGGAAAAGACGATGGGGTTGGATAGGGCACACACTGAGAAAACAGGAAAACAGCATTACTATATTGTCTTTGCATTGGAACCCACAGGGGCATAGGAATAGAGGGAGGCCAAAAAACATATGGAGAAGAGAGCTGGAGAACGAGGTTAGAAAGATTGGGAGGACATGGGGAGAGCTCCATGCAATGGCGAAGGATAGAACGACTTGGCGTGAGTTGGTTGAGGGCCTATGCTCCATTGGGGGATAGAAAGGCAGAAGAGAGACCCGACTTCTCCAAGAATGTGTTGCCCATGTTAGCCTGTCAGGAGAAGATAATTCAAACTCGTTACATTCATTCTGTGCAAACTATTGTTTGTGTCCTTCTTGTTCAAAAATAAATCTGTACAAGATTGAATCTTGGACAATTAATAAACAGGCCGAACAATATTTTGAGGCCCCAGAGATGTGGTTTTACAGAAGACTCATTAGAATCCCTTGGACAGCTAAGAAGAGCAACAGATGTTTTGATATTGGCAGGTGCTCGAAGACAAACTGATCACAAACATCATAAAGAGACAGTCATCATTTTCATGAGAAGAGGGAAAATGGATCATGTTGTGACAAGTGGAAAGGTTTGTGGAAGGAGAGACAGAGGAAGACAGCGCGAGAAGATTCTTGACACCTTTTTGTCATGGCATGGAGGGTGTGTCAACACACGAACTGATACACGCAATTGCGGATCGCAGATTTAGGAGAGGCATGATCGCCCACGCTAGTCGGCAAGGCACTTGATGATGATGATGAGACAGTTGCGGAATTCCCACTGGTTGTATCATGTCTGTGTACTTGTAAAAACATTTCCAGCGGTGCCTACCTTTTTGTAAACCGAACTTTTGAGCTGTTCCCGTGTATTTGTTTGGTTAACTAGTAGTCTGTGTTTTTGTAAGGCGAACTTGCGAACTGTCAATCACCTGTGACCTTTCACTGCTTTTCCTGCTCGTCCCGTCTTGTCTTAACATAGGTCAAGTCTCTAGTCTATTGTTTCGAGTCCATACGGGGAGAGGGTTGTTTGTTTGTCTCCTATTCTTCTATGTAAGTATAGAAAAGAAGAGGTGGCTGTGGTTTTAGCGTTGCGACCACGTTTCGTAATTCTGATAAGTCTTTACTGAAAACTATCATCACAGCCATTACTGTCTGCAGTGCAAAGATCAAACGTCATTATAAGTCTATGGTTAAGCACCAGCAAGGAA